TGAAGAAGGAAAGTAGAAAAAAAGTCTAAAATGCATTCCATCCCTATAAAAGGAAGTGTAAGAGAAGGTCCTGTATAGGGCTTATGTTACTGGTATCTGTGTCTGCAGTCCCCTTTGCTCTCTCCTCCAGTTTTGGAAGGGACGTAGCCACCAAGGTTCAAAAGCACACATGTGATGGCAATACTTCAAATGAAGCGATCTTGATCACCGGTCCGGAACCATTTAACAGAGATCACTAACACCCCCATTTTTCTATTTGGGGTGGCTGACAAATGCATCTTCCTACTCAAAGCCAAAAATACAAAGATGAGAGCAGGAGTACAAGTTACCGTTAGAACAGAAGTTACATAAAGTGCAATAAACTCCATCGGTCTCCCAGATGCAGTTTTTCTTTTGCTACACTTACTTGCTTTTTGCCATCTTCCGTAGGAGTGTAGGTATATGTGGGGGTGAGATTTTTGTTTTTAAACAATCTATCATATTTTTAACCTCTCTTTTAAGCACAGGTTTTGTAGTTCCTTCTGTTAATTAAATTATTATTTTTCTGTTATTCTGCATCTTTTTAACAACTCGTGTGCAGTTACTTCCAGATGCATTAGGGTTTAGGGTAAGATACAGAAGTTACCCTATTAATTAAAGTTTATGGAATGTCACCATATAATAAATCTGCAGGGCCGATTCCAATTTCTCCTTTGTATGATTATACGTTTTTGGATATAAACTCAAAAACTTGCAAAGATGTCCTTGAATCCAGTGCATATTTAAAAAGCTTATAAACTGCTCAAAATGTTGCTGCACTTTTTTTTGTTGGGGGGTTTCAGGCGGGTCTCCCCGCGCCCGCACGTGCGTTTGAACCGGAGCCGAGAGGTGAATTTTGTTCCTGTGGCAGCCCACTCAGTTCTCGGTCCAGAATGGGAGGCCAGGGAGGGCTGTGTTGCTATCAGTACTCCAGCACCAGGGACGTTACTGAAACTAAAACGTGGGCCAACTTTAAAATGAGTGTTCGTAAGCTGACCTGATCTGGGCTCTCAGTTTATTAGCAGCGTTCGGTCTAATTTCAAAACCATGTGGCGTTGCAAAATCAGGATGACAAACAGTTGAATCTCTTTTCTTTGTTGTAGCTTCTCACTGTCCTTAGCGTATTTTGATGTTTGTCTTACTTTAGTAGTCCTTTTTGGGCTGAGAGGTTAAGGTAAATGTTAGACTTAGGAGAAATTACTGTCTTAAGAGTATAAGCGTCTTTTTCCTTTTTCTCTAACATACCTATTCTGAAATTTGATACATCTCTAAGTAATATCTATTAAAAGTATAACTTCTTTGACATTGGGTTGTCCTCTTTATTGTTCTGCTTAAGATGGTTGAAACTAGGTGGGTTGGTTTTCAGTCCGTGTCCATTTAGAGTTTGGATTTGGGGTCTTCTGAAGTGTGTGGAGGGTCTCTAGTGTGTGTCGGGGTTTTCTGAATGTCCCTACTCGCACATCAGAACAGGTATACAAGTTACCTTTTAGAAAAACTTGTGAACTTCCTCATTGTCAGGAGTAATCCTCTTATTCTGCTCCGAAGTTTAAATTGTAACTTGTGAGGGAGACTGAAAGAAGATGAGAAATATAAACTGATGAGCCTATAAATAGGAGTAATTAAACTACCAGTCACCGCCTCCCTGAATGCTACGGTTGTGACAGCTGAGACTCAGAACCGATTTAATCTCTCCTGCTCTTGAAAAGACAATTAGAAAAGCCCAATCACAGCATGGAAAAATGTTTTGGTTTTTTTCTTTTCTCTTCAATTTGGTAAGAGAGAAATATGCTGGCAATGTATCACATAAAACACAAATCCTGCTGATCTTTTCTGGACTATGCTAACAAAAAAAAAAAAGAGAATTGTAGCAAGGCTGTATTGCCTACCATGTACTAATTTTCATCAAAAGGTTTCTTGCTTAGCTGATATCCCCTTAGTTTTGTAAATGAGACCCCCGCTATTTCACTGGTTACTTTTCTGCCAACATTTTCATCTTACTGTAAACTAATAAGGGACTCGGAATGGTATGCTGCTGGACGCCCCAAATCAGAACTGCTGTAAGGAGTATTCCATGCATAGTGAGGACAGCTAGTTTAATTAGAGTGTGGGTTTACGTGTGCATGTGTTACTTTCTTGATTGTATTTATTGGCTGTGATGTCCTTTGCTTGGGGATAGCCTCTGCACCTGCTCATAATAGAGGTTGAAGAAGGAAAGTAGAAAAAAAGTCTAAAATGCATTCCATCCCTATAAAAGGAAGTGTAAGAGAAGGTCCTGTATAGGGCTTATGTTACTGGTATCTGTGTCTGCAGTCCCCTTTGCTCTCTCCTCCAGTTTTGGAAGGGACGTAGCCACCAAGGTTCAAAAGCACACATGTGATGGCAATACTTCAAATGAAGCGATCTTGATCACCGGTCCGGAACCATTTAACAGAGATCACTAACACCCCCATTTTTCTATTTGGGGTGGCTGACAAATGCATCTTCCTACTCAAAGCCAAAAATACAAAGATGAGAGCAGGAGTACAAGTTACCGTTAGAACAGAAGTTACATAAAGTGCAATAAACTCCATCGGTCTCCCAGATGCAGTTTTTCTTTTGCTACACTTACTTGCTTTTTGCCATCTTCCGTAGGAGTGTAGGTATATGTGGGGGTGAGATTTTTGTTTTTAAACAATCTATCATATTTTTAACCTCTCTTTTAAGCACAGGTTTTTTATTCCCTTCTGTTAATTAAATTATTATTTTTCTGTTATTCTGCATCTTTTTAACAACTCATGTGCAGTTACTTCCAGATGCATTAGGGTTTAGGGTAAGATACAGAAGTTACCCTATTAATTAAAGTTTATGGAATGTCACCATATAATAAATCTGCAGGGCCGATTCCAATTTCTCCTTTATATGATTATACGTTTTTGGATATAAACTCAAAAACTTGCAAAGATGTCCTTGAATCCAGTGCATATTTAAAAAGCTTATAAACTGCTCAAAATGTTGCTGCACTTTTTTTTGTTTGTTTGTTTTTTGTTTTCTCCTAATGGAAGTAAAATTTTGGAGGTGGAAGTGTGGCGAATATGTTATCAGCTTCTGCAGACCAACATGTCATATTCTGAAATCATTTAATGTTCAGTTCATCCCAGGTGCCAATGCTTGTGCAGTTTCTTTTGTGAGACAGCATCAAACCAGAACTTTTCTTGACCTTTGAGTAGTCACTCATTAGATAAATGTAGCATTATTTATTAATTCATTCCTGTTTGCTGTAATAACTTGGAAGTATTTTTTAATATATTTTTTTCATGACCCATGCTGCATAGATTTGATTTTTTTTTTGTTTTGTTTTTGTTCTTCAGTTAAAGATACGGTGCTATTCACTAGATTTTCTTGGTGCAAGCAGGATATCCTTAACTAGGAAAAAAACAAGATTAACAAGAAGAATAATTTACTTCTGAAATGGAGTTGGTACATAAGTAATCCTAGTTCCCATTTGAATGACTTGCTAGAGGTTTGGATATTCTAGAACCTCTAAAACTCTCCAGAATGTTTCCATGAGAATCCGTGCCTGAAGAGAATAGGCTGGATAAGGCCTTGGTAGGAGTATTGTCAGTGTTTCAGTACAGAAGGAATTGCTGAAACAATTGAAGTAGTAACCCTAAATTTAGACATGCGCTCACATATTTTGCTGTTTTAGCAATGTAGCATGAAATGCTGACTGTATGAGGAACAGTCAGAAATGCTATGCAATTTTTTTTAGATATAGCACTCTTACATCTGTAATGAGATTGGTTGCAGAGTCTTTTGCCTTAACGTTTTGCTTTACTTTGGAGAAACTAAGAACCTTGTGTATAAAGAGGAGTAGCCTGTGTTCTTTCTGCAGATATGGATGTGCATTTTCACTTATGCCCTGCGTAGTGTCTGATTTATGGCAACTCTGAAAAATAAAGGCGATCTTTTAATTGCCAAATACAAGTCTGACAAAGCCACTAAAACAGTTCTTAGTTGCTGTGTTCACATCTCTGTCCCTGGGCTGTGTGGTGGTTTGGGTTTTTTTAAGTTTGTCTTCTAAAACCGTGCCTCATTAAAAACTCCTTTCATCCAGAACACGCAGATGTAGTTTAGTACTGCAAGAGTGCAATAAATATCCTCAATTACAGATAAGAGAAAATGCAGATGTGTTAACTGAATGGCTAAGAATAAGTCTCTCAAAAGTTAATGCCATAGGTGGGGACACTGAGCTTCTTAGATATAGACCATATACAGCTCTCCTTTGGCAGGGCACTATATTAGTCATTCAGAAGGCTGTTTGTGGGTGGTGAATATCAATATGAGATTCCTCGGTGTTTGTATTTAAGCGGGATATATTCGGGCCAGAGAAACTGCCATGGTAGTTAGAAGACAGAGCGGTGCTCTTGTGTCTGGCAGCGGTCAGCACCACGTTCTCTTGAGGAAGGTGGAAGAAGACTGGGCAACTGAATACGTTGTCCGCAAGTGAAGTTCCTTCCTGACCCCTATCAGCTGGTGGTCAGCCTGTGCCCTAAAGCATGAGGTTTTGTTAAATTTTTAACCTTTAAAGTGTTGTCAAGTGTCACTTTGGATGTTTTGTTTTATTTTTAAGTATTTTTCCTGATTGTATTTCAGTTTCTTTGCATGTCCTGTCTTCCAGGAGTAAGGAAAATGCATGACTTGTGGTCTCTGTTTATATTGTAGACCTTTCTTTAATATCATTTTAATCCAAGCAGTCTGAATATGTATAGATATATCCCTTTCACTTACAAAGCATCTCTTACCAATATGTAAAATTGCAATGTAATATAAAATGAACGATTTATACTTTCTGCTAAGATAGATATTCTTACTAATTTAGGAACAAAATTCAGTACCTCCTGGTTTTGAAGCTGTTGGATTGTTCTGTTTAGTCTTGTCATGTAAGTTAACTCTGAAAACCAGAAGACCATCTATTTATTTATTAACACTCTTTATTTTTAACCTTTCAAAGATGGTTTCATCCAAATATTACTGGGGTGGAGGCAGAAAACCTACTGTTAACAAGAGGAGTTGATGGCAGTTTTTTGGCACGGCCCAGCAAAAGTAACCCAGGAGACTTTACGCTCTCCGTTAGGTAAGTTTAAATGGTTTTTTTGTCTTTTTCCCCAAATTGGTAAGAGTCTGCATTTGATGCTGTTCTATGGAGAAAGAGTTGTAAATTAACTGCTTGTAAGAGATGAAAGAATACATGGGTCACTTTTTAGTCTGTTGTTCACTTTTTTCCCCTCTTTTTTTTTTTTCCCCCTCCTGTTTTCTGTGAAGAGGTTCTCAAATACTTTTACCCAACTTGGGGAGACTATAGGTTGGAGGGTGGTGAATTCTGATTCTGCGGAGAGACAGAAAAAGTTAAGGGGAAGCAGAAGTAGATTCATAATAGCATTGCTTTTAGCCCTTTATAAATCTGTTTGATAACCATCTGAAAGTAGCAGAGATGATATGAATTACTGATCAAGCACATGCAAGAAAATGCTATCCAGATTCTCTTCTTACAGGAAAAGTCAGCAAGTTTTTAAGGGCAACTGTGGTGCTATTTCAGCTTCCAAAATAGGCCTTTTGTAACACTTGTCCCCTGACACTGTATGTGTCGTGGTAGGGATGGGGAAAAGATGGCAAGAGGATGTAGATAAAGGAAAAGGGAAAAGTGGGATTGGTGATAAGAATAATGCTGCTTGGATACCTTTGAGATAACGGGCCTTGTTGAGAAGAAGGGGACTCTTTCAGAGAGCTGTTCTTCATTAATACTAGAGACTTTGGGAGCAAATGACTTGCATCAGGCAAAGGCAACTGTTTACTGAAGGAGAGATCTTAGCAGTTAGTGTGAAATTCTAGGGAAAGGAGCAAACAAGCTCTGATGGGTGTTTAGAATGCTGAATTCTTCTCTCCTCACCCCTCCACCCTTTGTGTTTGTGTGTGCAATTCTTGGAGGTCTGAGGGATTTCTATTGGAGATCGTGAGGCCACAGAGCTTACAGTGGCTTCAAAGATTCCTTTGTTATGGAATTAAGGGTTTTTTCCCTATTCTTCCTGACTGTTGGACAGCCACTTCCCCTTCTTGCAAGCCACTGAAATGTGGCTGAAGCACACTTCAGAGGTACATTAGCTTAGCTATTTTACAATATTTCAGTTGGAAAGTGATGCAAATGTAGTAAGTATGGATTTCTCTAACTCAGATAACAGAACACTAAATACAAAAGTGATTGATTGGAAATCAGCTGACTTGTGTGCTTTATTTTTTTTTTCCCCCTTTGTTTCAAATATTAGACGAACTGGAGCTGTCACCCACATCAAGATCCAGAACACAGGAGACTACTATGACCTCTATGGAGGAGAGAAATTTGCTACGTTGGCTGAGTTAGTCCAGTATTATATGGAACATCATGGACAGCTCAAGGAAAAGAATGGAGATGTTATAGAGTTGAAATATCCGCTGAACTGTGCTGATCCTACATCTGAAAGGTCAGAGAAATAATGGTGAAAACCTCAGTGTCCATGCACTTAATAAATGTATGTTTTATCCCTATTAACACTACAGTCAGCTCCCTTTTGATGAAAGGGCGGCCACTATCTTGTACTAAAAGTGGTCCCACTGATTTCAGTGAGGTGACTTGCAAAATAGACTAATAAACATGATTAAAGGAAAACCAATCTAAGCCCGAGAACCTATTTTCTTCAGCATTCTTCCTGGTGTGATACAATACTAAAAAAGAGGGCATAGTTCCCTTTATTTTTACTGGGAGAATGTTTTATTATAGAAGTTCTCCTAAAGCTTCCTGAAGCTGTTATTACTGCAAGGAATTCCCAGGTGTATTTCTGAGCATATATATACAGTTTTTCCAGCGGTGGGCCTATGTGTAAGAAAGTGAATGACATGCAAATCCTCAAATTGCTCAAACTCATGTTTTTAGGAGCATGGCTAATAAGGAGAATCTGAGGCTTTAGACCTGACATATACTGAGGAAGTAGTGTATGTCAGAAATAAACCTTATGGCCAATAGATATCAGTTTATTCTCAGAGGTGAAAAACCAAGGAAAAACATTAAAACAAGTTCTCTCACTCCTCAGAATGGCTTGTGTTTAAGAGTAGTGGGGAGGATTATTGCCTTTTTGGCCATGTTTCTTGAAGAATTGAGATTGATGTGATTATCCTGTCCAGTTCCTAACGTGATGGAAGGGTAAGGTCTCAAAGATGCTAAGTTCCCACAGGTTTATCAGGAAAGTGCATCCTCGTGAAGGAAATAAAAGAAGAATAGATGCCTTGACTGAGGAAAAGGTTGCGGTGTAAGCTCGTGTTTATTGGACACCACGGAATCCATTTGGACAGTTGTAAAGGATCCAAATCAAAGCTTCATTTGAAGATTGCGTGAAATGCAAATTTCAGTGCTTATGGAAGTGCTTGCTTTGAAGTGTTTCTGTAATCACTCGTGTGTATGCACATGTACACTTCCAAGGCTTATTTTGTTTTTTATTTTTATAAACTGAGGCTTTCTGTAGACCTGGACATTGTTGTTCAGTGTACGTAAGCATTTTACTTTATAATAAATACTTAGTGGATTCAGCCATGGCTGGAATGACAAATAGGGTACCTGTCTATATCTTACTTTATTTAAAGGTGGTTTCACGGGCATCTCTCTGGAAGAGAAGCTGAAAAACTATTAACAGAAAAAGGAAAACATGGAAGCTTTCTTGTGCGTGAGAGTCAAAGCCACCCTGGGGACTTTGTTCTTTCTGTCCGGACAGGAGATGATAAAGGAGAAAGTAATGATGGGAAATCTAAAGTGACACATGTCATGATTCACTGCCAGGTATGATGAAGCACGTGCTTCTTTAACAGGGCTACTTCCATGGGCAGTGGGTTTATTCTAACAGGAGGGCCGTCTTACACTTCACTACAGAGAGCTGAATACATTTCCCCTTTCCCTGTGGTACTGTGCGCTATGTATCATCTGTTTGATCAAATTGACTAATTTGATAGCATCAAAATTCTATTAGTGGTGGGTTTTTTTTTTTTTGACCGCTTGCCTGACTGAATCATGCTGTCAAGTACCTTCTAATAGATTTGCTTTTGATTGCATCGGAAGTCTGTCTCAAATCCTCTGCTGTGGAGCCTCTCATGTTCATGAATCTTCTTAAGCGATTTGCAGTCTCCTGGACAAATTATATAAAAGTATGAGTAATTGGACAAATAGAGATCCATCCGAGCGTATCTGTTTCTCCTGTCAGTTTATAAAGTTGCACCTGATAGATGATCAACGTTCTGTGAAAATTTTGAGTATTGAATCCAAGGAACAGTTTTACATCTAAAGCTTGAATTTAATATAGGGTGGTTCTTCACTGAAGTATTACTAAATTATAGTCATTTGATATTTTCATATATGCCCATGGGTTGCTATTTAAAAAAAAAAAATCACAAATTTTGTCGTTTTCTTTTTGTTCTGTTATCCTAAAAGACAGTGCAACGTCTTAATTGTTTAAAAACTACTAAAATGCAGTAACAGAAATAGTTTGGAGATGGAAATGGCTTACCAAGACTGTAAAAGCTAAACTACCAGAAATTTTTTTTTTTTTTTGAGAAAACCCCTTTGATTTGCAGTTAACTACTAGTAGCATTTATGACATAGAACAAAATAACTTAGCATTGCTTCCTTAAAATAGGGATGGTGGCAGTCAATACCAGCCTTTCAGGACCCAATGATAGTCTTTTAGGAATTTGAATTGATTTCCAAGGCTATCTCCTGGATTCTAGTCATGTAGCTCAGGTAGCCTGCTTGAGCTGACTGAACCTCAGTTCAGAAGGAATCAGCTCTCCTGAAAAGGCAGATAAAATGATTTTCAATTAGATGACAAAAAGGATAATGTCCTCCATAGTGTGTGTGTGTTTCTTTTTATTAAGGTTCTACCATCCCTTAGAAGAAGGATTTTACTAGATTCTTCTACATATGGTTTTAAAGAGAATTTCTCATATGTTGCATAGCCTAAAGACGATACTAGAGTAGACTTCATTGTATGAAGTGCATTTATTTTGATGAGCATCTGTCTTTCAAGGATCTAAAATACGATGTTGGTGGAGGGGAGAAATTTGACTCTCTGACAGATCTAGTGGAACATTACAAGAAGAACCCTATGGTAGAAACTTTGGGCACAGTATTGCAACTCAAGCAGGTGAGTGAATGGAGAAGACACCACTAAGCTTTGTTATCTTCAGCATATATTGTTGAAGTGCAGGCTTTTCCATGTGTTCTGTGAGACATCATTTTTTTTTTTCTTTCCTAATGCAAAAATGAAGAATTAAACTTCATGAAACTGGATGACAAAGTCATTTAAATGGGAACATTTTTTTTTATATGCCTGTGAAGGATAGACTCTTACGTCTCTGATGCGTGCAGAACTTCTCTTGGTTTCATCGTGGTCCATAGGGATTGCAGGACTAGTCCAGAAATGAGACAATGTATTGAAGAACAACCGAGAGACTTTAACTAAAAGCAATTGTTCCCTGCCCCCTTCCTTTCTACCCTCACTACCCTTCGTTGTATGAATTGTAAAGTTTTGAAGTCTAAAGAGATGCCTGGATCCTAGAACTGCCTATATAAAATATACTTAGTGTAGGAGATTTGTGTTTTAACTGTCTTCTCACAATTGTCACTGGTTATACCTTTGTTTAATGTTTGTATCTTTCTTAGCCTCTGAATACTACCCGTATTAATGCTGCAGAGATTGAAAGCAGAGTGCGAGAGCTAAGCAAGCTAGCAGAGACTACAGATAAAGTCAAGCAGGGCTTCTGGGAAGAATTTGAGGTACTTCATTACGTTCCAAGTGTTATGGTATTAAATCTCTACACTACTAAAAAGTAAGGTTTGTTACTGCCTTCCTGAGATTTTCTCATCTCCCCCTCTGTCGCTTCAGATCCCTGTTCTTGCTCTCCCATCTCCTGTGTCAGGTACAGCATGGATTAAAATTTTACCAGTTCCACTCTTCTGTCTGCTAGTAAAATGAGTGAAATATTTGCCTTTTTTCCTGATTCTAAGAGCTAATGATGTTCTTCAATGCTATTCATTCGATACCTAGCACAATCCCTCCTGAATAGCCTCCCCATCATGAGGAAGCCTTATGTACAACTCTGGCCCACCAGGACAATTAATCAGGTTGATTCCTGTGGTCCTTTTCTTCACGTGGACAGGAAGAGGCCTGTAGGTTGGATTAACATTTCTGGAGGCAAAGGACTATTTCCTAGCCTACATTACTCTTGGTGACCAGAGTACTAGTACAGTAGTGGTATCTGATGCAGTTGCAATATGTCAGATGTATTGTGCATATGAGGGGATTGCACCGTGCTTTCTGTTGCACATCTCAGTGCAGAGGATGTTTCGGTTTGCACTCTGCTGTGTTTGGGAGGTTGGGTACCATCGCTTTAAGGAAACTTTGGTGTGATTTCTCAGTCAATATATGCTCTTGCCCTTGAGTTTGTGGCTTTTTGATAGCTGTTTTGGGGGATCTTAAAACTATTGTGAAGCAGTAACAGCAGCAAGCTCTGACATGAAGCAACATTGATGATGTGTATTCCTTGGACTCCTGGAGATTTATTTTTGTTTTGTTTGGGTGTTTAATTTCTGCCTGCAGCCAAAACTCCATTTTCCCCCCAGAAAGTAGCATTGCCTTTCCTTCTGTCCTATCTGCGCACCTCTTGTGTGTGTAACATAGCTGTGCTGGCCCAGCTCTCCCCTTCTTTGAAGCCCTAATGATTTCGGGGAGCTACTTATGTTTGAAAGAAAATACAGCTGAAACTGTTAATTTTTCAAGCAGAGCAAATGAAGTATGAGTGTTAACCAACACATTCCAAACTACTTGAGTCTAGCCTGGGTCCTAACCCATCTCTGACAACTGGAGTCACTTAACAACTACATGCATGTGATGGTCATAGCCAAAAGCCTTAGAAGTGTCTTAAATATAATGGACTGGTTTATACCCCACACACGTAAGAAAACCACAGTGGAGTCTGAAACTCCACCAGCAGGTGGCAACAGGAAACTGGAAAGTCCTGATCTTTGACAGAGAGGCAGGTTTTGGCTGTGTAATGCTATTTTGAGAAACTTCTTGAATAGTGACGGATTTGCAAAGCAGCCATTCTTGAAGAAACTCTTTTTTTGATCAGACATATTCATTAGCTGAATGTACTGTCCAATCTGCTCTGAGATTTTTCTCCTCCTAACAATTGAATGTACTGTCCAATCTGCTCTGAGATTATTGTCAGGAGGAGAAAAATAAATCCATGAAAAGCAAAAGACTCTTACCAAAGAGGTAACACATTTCACTACGAATGTGGATGGAATGTAAGAAGGTGAGGTCATGGCAGTGGGGAAATCATAAAATGAGGGTTAAGCTTTCTCCTCTCTCTTCCCCTGTGCCCGGTGCAGGGGGGGGCAGTCCTTGACCCAGGACTGCTCAGTGGTCAGAATCCCACCTGGAGGGGGAAGCAAGCCAGCAGAGGCTGCTCTGGCCATTGTTGAGGACTTGGGACTGTTTTACCCTGACAGTGGAGTGGTGGATCCCCTGGGGAGCAGTTTTCATCTATTGCTTGTGAACCTCCCCTGGAGGTAAACTGGCCTCAACCTTTGACTTGCTTCTCTTGCAGAGTTCAAGACATGAACTCTGATATGGGTCCTGAAGGGTCAGGAAGATTAGCCACACCTGCTCTAATTGCTAAGACTTACATATGGGAATTAAGTGCTTTTTGCAAAAAAGTCTGATTAGTGGTGTGCTTTATCATATCATGACACAGTCACGTAGATTGTGCCTGTGATCACTGTGTGGTTTAGGCTGAACATACGTTTGCAAGTTAGCCAAGCAAAGGGTGTTTGTTGGCTTCCCTGGAGACTCTAAGCTTACCTTACTCTTATTCAGAGGGCATAAAAAGGAAAGTATGCCCTGTTGGCTTTCCCTTCTTGTAACTGGTGCTGGCTTACTAGAAGCTATGTGAATAAATATCTGGTTTGGTTTTTTTTTTTCTTTTTCTGGAGGGAAGCACTTGTGTGGTGCTTTTAGGAATGGATTGTTGATTTGTCAAAGTATGAATGAACTATTACTTGACACTTATGACTTCTTTTCTGAGCTCTGGTCTTTTGTTGAATAAATTTGTCTTGTAATGGATTTATCAGTTGGTCCTTAGAAGGAAAGTCTTTTCCTGTCTTTTGGCTTCCTGAAGAAGAGTATTTGCTAGCATGCCAGAAGTGTTAGCCAGAAAAAGTAAATGTAAGAAATGAAAGATTTTACCTGTGAGACATTCCACTTGTCTTTCCCCTTCGCTGCTGTTAGTGAGGTCAGCACTAAACCTTATTTTTTTCCACTGTGTTTTTGGAAATTAAGCAATCTCATAGCAGTTTTCATGTCATGCTTTTTCATTCACCTCAGGTAAGCTGTAGCTGTCAGCCTTGGTGGCAGGAGGCAGGGGGGCAAACTCTAGGTTGTCCATGGATCTCTGCCTGTGCTGTTTATGATTTGGCAGTCCAGATGGTAGTTATAAATTACTTGTCTTCAGGCATATTTAAGAATGTACCTCTTGTCCCGTGAACCATTAGACAGAAATGTTGACAGTCCTTGTAATGGTTTTGCTTCTGAAAAACGGCTGTTTGATGAGCATAATGCTTGGATGTTGCAGTGAAATTGAGGACTATGTTTCAGATTTATTGTTGCATTGTGTACATCTCTTAATGGGCTTGTTAGAAGTCGTTGCTGCTCACGGATCTCTCCTCAGGGATGCTCAAAGCAATAATGATTAACTGTGTGAAGTGAAGATGTGTCTGAAGCTATGGTTTCCACACTCTTAATTGTTTCAGTTTTTTAACCTGCTAGCAAAGTTTAGCTTTCGGTTCTTTTGCTTGGCGTTTCACTTGGCTGAGACTCAAAAGTGTTAATATTATATAAAGGTGCTCTCTGATAATGGCACTTGAAAGACTCTTGCAGTGTGGCAAGAGATGAGCTTACTGCGAAGTGCTGTTTCACCCATCGCTAGTAGTAGCAAGCAATGCTTTATGGGGATATGTTTTCTGTCTTTTGCTTCATAGGCATGAAACCTGGCAGCTCTCCTATATTGTTTTTGTTCTTTGGTTTCCCTGTCTTTAGGATGAGCCTAATTGTCCAAGGTCACTAAGTGAGGTAGTAACAATAACAGAGATTGAAATAGAAGTGAGCAAATGTGCCTGACACGCCCAAGCTTTAAAGTAAAAGCAATCTCTGCAAGAGTATTAGGAGTGGTAATAACAAGGGGAGCAGCTTTCAAAGCCTGAGTGTTCCTTTTAGCCAGGCCAGTACTGCTTTTGGGATTAAAACTTGGAACAGAGGTCGAGATTCTGGTCCCTCCAGCTTTGTTGCAAGTAGGGGGACTTGCTACTAAGCAACATGGCTGTGAAGTATGGACTTGCTGTTGTCCCTGTCATATTAATTGTGAACCAGGCACTGAGAAATTAGCTCCTTGCCAACAGGAGAAATTCCGTGCAGATTTATTGTTTCTGCACTAGGATGATTTATGGATAACCCTGTTGGTAGTTACCTAATGCACCCCCCTCCTCCCCCAACAGGGTAATATGAGAAAGTCTGGGCAAAATTTTGTACTGGTTTTGTGAAATGGCCTTGCATTGGTAGAAGAGAATAATTAGAGCACTTAAAGTGGTACTTGGCTGTGGTGGTGGGTTGTGCATTGGCATTTTACCTGTCTCATCCATACCTTTGAAAATACTGTAGCATTCTCATGTGGACTTTTGTTCTAGGGGAACAGACAAGGATATCTTCCTAATATTCTGCTTCTAACTGCTGAAGGACTTTTTACTGTGCTTGATATTTAAATACAGTTGCTTGTGTTGATGTGCTTTGTTGGGTTTTTTTGTGTGCTCCTTCCTCCTCTTTGGCTGTCTAGAGTTGGTCTGGCTGCAGCTTGCAAGGATCCGCTCTTGTGGCGTTGCTGTAGCACAGCATTTGTAATCTCAGGGACTTGTTTTGGGGACTTTCCAGCAGTGTTACTACAGACTCACTGTAGCTGAAGGAGTGGAAGAAGGCTGGTAAGGCCTAGAGGAATCCAGTACAGCTCAGGTAGAGAAGCACTGGATCGCAAAATGCCTTACTTCTTTGCAGGTTGGCAGTGTTTTGAATGCATTAGTTACTAATCTTTATTGGTACTAAAGCTAATGCCAGTTCAGTGGAAATTTTTTAACTCCTTACCTGCCTGATTCAGCAAAAAGGAGAAATGCGATAGTACTCCTAACTTTTATGCTTGGTGAGAAAGACCTAGTGATAAATATGTTTATTTGGACCTGCTCTGTAGCGTGCTGCTTGTGTTATTTGATTTATTTCGCGTGCCTTTTAAGACGGCCAGATTTCCACAGACAAAATTTTGTTGTGGTCCTTTGTAACCAGTTATGTTTTCCTTGCAGTGTTTTACAGCTAAAAGCTTTAAGGGACCAACTTGCATCTGCTTGGTCAGAACAGTATCATGAGGACTTGCTGGTTATCGTTTGTGGTTTAAAGAAGCTTTGAATTCATAGATGTTTATAATTATCAGGTGGAAAATAGCTTGCCTTGTCACTCATGTTCCTGTGTTTCTTATATACCTTGTGAGCAATGCTGTACTAAGTCTGAATGGAGAAATCCAGTACCCTCCTCTCTCTCTGACTATCTGGCATTATAATCAAGTGTTACCCTTTTTGTGAAAAAGGATCGCTGTAATGATGGCGAAACAGTCCATACTGCTTTTATTAAAACCAGTTATTTGTGCTGTTTTCGTTTAGACTTTACAGCAGCAAGAATGCAAACTTCTCTATAGTCGTAAAGAAGGTCAGCGTCAAGAAAACAAAAACAAAAATAGATACAAAAACATTTTACCCTGTAAGTATTGATTTCTTTCATTATAATGTAAGCCTGCTACTTTTCTGTGCTTTATTTTCTTAGCTTGTAACTACAGGGTTAATTAGTCACCACTGTGCTTTTTCTTCTCTTTAGTGATAATTTCCCCTCTTATGTTGTCAGTATTAGTCCATGCAATTTCCAATTTGTGTTCAAACACTTGCACTTTGTAGATAACGATATTTTGATTCCCAAATACTGTTTTTATCTTTAGCTTTCATTTAAAAGTGTCACATCCCTAAACGGTTACTCAGCAAACTGGAACGCTTAAATTTAAGAGGATTAATTTGTGGTACAAAACTGCATGGTGCAAATCCAGCAGCCATTTGCCTTGACTTAGTGCTTGACTGTCCATGTACTCATGAGTTACTAGGGGTCGCGAACACTTATTTTGATCTAGTTTGTTATGAATTGGCCACTTGTTTTAAGAAATGGCAAAAGAGGAAACGTTGAATATTCTAGCCCCTAATTTACTGAGTTTGATAAGTTAATAGCTTCTGGTAGCAGTAAGAAACGTACCTGTCTGTGGGATATTTAAAAATAGCTGTGTGTTCACAACTGTAGGATACAAGTGCTTAACATACATATATATTCTTCCAGTTGATCATACCAGAGTTGTTCTACATGATGGTGATCCAAATGAACCTGTTTCAGACTATATCAATGCTAATATTATTATGGTAAGTATACTCCTACCTGCAGGAATCTTGTTGGCACAGCCCATGTCTACTCTTGAACATACCTAAATCCAAGTTAGTCTTGTAACCATTTGTCACCATTTGTTAAATTGTTTTTTCTCTAGCCTGAGTTTGAAACCAAGTGCAACAACTCAAAGCCAAAAAAAAGCTACATTGCTACTCAAGGCTGCCTACAGAATACAGTGAATGATTTTTGGAGGATGGTGTTCCAGGAGAATTCTCGAGTTATCGTTATGACAACAAAAGAAGTTGAAAGAGGAAAGGTAAAAACAGACTCTCAAACTGGCCGTAGGAAAGGTCAGGACAGTTGAATGCAAGTAAGGACTAAACTGGCTGTTACATTGATTTATATGCTGAAATCTGGTGTGCCACCACTATCTTTGGAGACCTGGAAGGTGCTGAGTGTCCTTTTATATTGGTGCCCGTGGGAATTGAGGGTACACTCTTATCATATCATCAGGACTCCCTTTTTTAAGGGTTGACTGATTAAATTTTATCCACTGAATGTGAATCTATGTATTTTAAAATGATTTAGGGAATGGGGCACTGGAATGCGAGATGTAGCCAAACAGGCATTCTGCATGCTTGAAGGGGTAAACTCCCTGTTCCTGTAACAAAAGTATTGCTATTTATTTTATCTTACCTAGCTTGTATAGACTTTACTAGAAAAGCAGAATTGTGGGGTGGAAGTTACTGCCTCAGATTCACCTCATTCAAGTCACATTTACTAGGCTTTACCAGAGTGCTGTTCTCTCTTCTGGCTTTACTTTCTATGCTTGAATTTGATAATATTCTTACTATGTGCTCAGCTAGTGATTACAACTGAAACTGTACCTGGTTAGAAATCCCTCAACCAGGTGTGATTTAGCACTTTTATTCCTAAAGTCAGGTCCTTTGCCTTTGACTACCCTGTTCTGCTTGAAGACAGCTGCCTGTTCAGCCTCGGGAACCTGCGAGCCCCTTGAGAATTGCTGTGGCAGTATTTAATGCTCTGAAAGAGGAAATTTTCCTGCAATGGCGTATGCCAAGAACCTCCATTTTACCTTTTAAGTGCAGAGATCTTGTCTTATTCACTGTCTTCTGGCAAATCTGAGGCTATTACTTTGTTTCTGGGTTCTAATGACATGGCAGGAAAGAATAGGAAATAGTCGAATACTGATATTCTGGCAATGGTCACATACCACTTCCTGTGTATAGTATAGTTTTATCTTTGGAATGTGTTGCTTCTGATCTTTTTTTCTGTTTGGTAAACAGTTTTTCTTCTCTTTTTTTTTTTTTTCCTTTTTTAAGTTTCTCTGCTTTTTCCACGTACCGTTGTCCACCTTTTTCAATAATCCGATGATCTATTTCTGAATGGAAAGCTCTTATCTTGTTAGATGAGTGTCACTTTTGAAAAACATTGAATTGAAAGTATAGCTAATGTTCTTCTGTGGGTGACTGATAATTGTGGGGGTTCCTTACCACTGCCACAAAAAGAAGAGGCTTTGTGTATATGTACTGAAGACAAATAGTAAATTTTATGGGCTTCTCTTCTTAATCTAGGTATCAAAGCTGCTGTGGTGTTTGTAGAAACTGTTAGACTCTGTCTTGTGGATTTTTTTAGGCTTTGTAAACTTCTGCCCATTCATCACCCTTATAAAGGGGCATGATATGTGTTTCCTTCCTGAGAATGAACTGAAGGAGGGAGACGCTACCCTTTTCCAGTGACCTTCCTCTTAGGTCTTTCTCTTGGAAGAAGAGAAATAAATTATGGGGTTGTTTTGGAAGAGTTGACTTGAATACACTTAGTACATTTTTTTTTTTTTTTTTTTTAATAACCTATGGAATGGCCTATGCTCCTCTGCAGCTTCTCCATGATTCTTTCCAAATTTTGCTAAACCTGTTTTCTGTGCTCTGGCTGTATAAAACATTTTAATGTCTGATTACTTAGTTGCTGCGTGCACTGATTATTTTTTTCCTTCTTTTTTTTTTTTTATGCCTATTTGACTTCTTCAAGAATTGCAAATAACAGTCCTGATATAAAATGAAAGCTTTTTTATCTCAGGCCAAGATGCTTTCAGGTCTGCAGGAAGGAGAGAAACCTCTACATCAGAGATGACTTCAAGAGCACGTTGCCTAAGGAAGTGAGGAACTATGAAACATCTCAGATCTGTACAGAGTTCTGAATATGCTTTAGAATGCACTGTAGAAGCAGCAAATACTTACAAATTAAAGTAGTGTTGTTTTGGAGGCAGTCCATTGAACTGATGATACATGCATCCCCTCTATCAGACTAAAGCTTGTTTTAACATTCTGTGTTACTGTTCAGACTTGCTATACCAACTGCTCTTGTGTTCAGAGTTCTGTATTGAAACTGAAAGTTATGTTGGCATATGTGAAGATCGACATCTTTTCTTTAGCTTGTACCTTTTTGGAGATGGCAGGGAAAGAAGGGCAAAAGTAACAGAAAAGCATCTTGTTGCCTAAGGAGGCTGGAAAGCATGTGTTCAATCATCTCTTACTGTATCTTGCGTTGGCAGAAGGAACTTTCTTGTTGCCATGTTTTCTCATAAATACGCAGTAGTAACTGCAAATAGGAAATGTTTCTCTGTAGTACTCGGTGTTTGGTCTGCATTTGCTATTGCTGGAAGCTAAATTTCTCATTTGATACTGTGTGGACTTGTATTACATTCACAGGCTAACAGGAGTCGCTCTTCCCTGAGCTTTTACAGGAACCAAATGAAAGTAGTAATAGGTGAACCTATTCTTCAGTGGATGGAATATATCCCTGGCCAAAGATAATCTTGAGAGAGAAGCAGCACACCAAAAGCTCTAAATTTCGAAACCTACAGGCACAGGAGGCTTTAGTCCCCTGCCACGGGGAGCAATTCTTTGTTGCTTTGGTGATTGAATCAGAGAGCTATGTTAGCCCTTTCTGCTCTAAGTGACAAAAAAGCAAGCATCCAAGTTTCATTTCTGCTAAAAACGGCTTATACCTTTGACTTGTATTTATTTTGCAGGCTGTTTGGTTTTGATTGTAGAATAGCCTGTAAGGCTACAGCATTCCACTGGAAATGCTCAGTATTTTGCAACCTGTAGTTGGGTGGAGATACAAGTAACAGTGTTTTAATCTCCGGGTTTTGAAATTGTCGAGGCAAAGCAGGTACTAAGATGATCACAAAAGCTGCTAAAAGAAAGATTGCCTCTACCTATTTGTCTGAAATCATCCGATGTTTGTTACGGGGAAGAGAAACTTCCCCCTAAAATGTACTTTACCTTGTCAGCTAGCTGCCCAGTTGGCGCTAGTAATTGTTTTCTATGTATTCAGAAATGAAAGCTTCAGAAATGTGTTTGTTAACCAGTTTACAAACCAGCCTTTCTTCTTACCGATTACTCTTTTTAAATTTTGCAGAGTAAGTGTGTCAAGTACTGGCCTGATGAATATTCCTTAAAGGAGTACGGTGTTATGCGTGTTAGGAATGTTAAGGAAAGTGCAGCACACGATTACACACTAAGAGAACTTAAGCTTTCTAAAGTTGGGCAAGTAAGTATGTTAGTAACTCTGTCCTTCTAATTTAGGTTGCAGATCACAAAAAAAAATTTTGCAGAAATAGACTGTTTCTTTGGAATCAATAAAAGCACTAAGAGATTAATAAATTGAGCCCCGTCTCTTTCTTTGAAGCTCCAGGTTTAGTTCCATACATCTTTTGCTTTGTTCTTGGGATAATTGAAGATTCTTATACTTAAGCATGTTTTGGCAGAAGATGCACTGCTGCAGAGCTTTGAGGGAATTTAGAAAGAGGGGTGTTGCTTTTAAGTAATCACACTTAAGTCTAGCTAGGCATTTGCTCCCTTTCGTGAGATGGTTGCACTAGAAAAATGATTGTGTGTGGGTCCAGTATGTAGAAAGAACGCTTAAGGGAAGGAATGCAAAAGATGAGGAAGGAAACAGTGAACTAGTGCAGAAATAGCACTTCCTTGTTAAGGGACAATTTGGATCAGGGTGCAAAAAGAATTGTGTAAGAAGCAAATAAGCAGGATGTGTTAGATTGGTATGTCCGTGGGATGGAACTGAGTGGGAAGAAGTGCGTAAGGTAAGTGCCGCTAGGTGTGAATGATGAGTATGACAGATGAAGGTCCCTTGCTGTTGGTCACCCTCAGACAGAACTTTGCCATGGCTTCTAAAGGTGAAGATGGAAATGTTGTTGGAAACAACTGCATGAGAAAGAGGGAGCTGAGGAAGCAGGTGGTGTGATTGACTTGTCAGGCCACGAAGAACTCTGGCTTGTTCCCTCCTTTGAGAGGTGTGGTGCTGTGGATACTGAGCAGCAGGCTGGATATGCCACCTTCCGATCTGACTCAGCTTTGCCACATAAATGCTTTTAGCTGGATTTTGACCTGAAGGATTTTGTTTTCACATGTTGGCATCTTCCTTCCAGGGGAACACAGAGAGAACAGTCTGGCAATATCACTTCAGAACTTGGCCTGATCATGGAGTCCCAAGTGACCCCGGTGGTGTACTAGACTTTCTAGAGGAGGTGCACCATAAGCAGGAGAGCATTTCTGATGCGGGACCAGTTGTGGTCCACTGCAGGTATGGTGAGCACCACGCCTCTCCTACTCTCTATGCCTTTGGAGTTCTGTTGGATCCCTTTTTTTTTGGGGGGGGAGCTGAAAACTTTAAAAGAAGACAACTTTACCCAAGAGCTACTCAGACTTTCATCTGTCAAAGTGTTTGTGCCTTCTGTTTTGCAAAATGATATATTCTAGATAGGTGTCAAATGGTTACCTTCGAAGCAGGCTGCCTTTCAGAGTGTGCATGTCTGTATGAATAAGAATTGCTGATGTTGTATGAGAAGGTGGTACCAGTCTTGGCTAGGTACATTTCAGGTGCAGGATCATGGAAATTCTAGTATCCTATCCCACCTCCTGTAGTGCTCTCTTCTCAGTCTCACCTTATGAGATACTTCTTATAAGGCAAGGAAACGTTAGATCTGACCTTGTAGTTTTGTTCTGACTCAAGGATGTTAATAAATGCTGAGGTACAGAAGTGCTGTTACGACTTTGGTCTCTTCCATGTTAAGTTGATTGGGTTTCTAGTTACTTTTGGCTGTGTGGCTTGGTTTGACTCTGGCTATAATTTGGAAGTCTAATGTCTCTTAATGTTAGACTCTTAGTTGGACTAGTGTTTTGCTGCCTGTTCAGAAAGAGCAAAACAATTAACTTTTTTTTCCCCTTCTGTTTTTACAGTGCTGGGATTGGGCGAACAGGAACTTTCATTGTGATTGATATTCTTATTGACATAATCAGAGAAAAAGGTAGGTTCCCCCCACTCTTATTTTCTTGTGAGACATTGACAGATACATCACAGTAAAACAACAGGAATGTTGATAGAATAGAAGATTCTAGTGATGCTACAGAGTAGGTGTGTGTGTTTGGCATAGAAAGGATTTGCTCATTCCTCTTGACTTAGCTGGAATCAAAGTGCCGAAACCCTGCTCCAGTTCAGCATAATGAAAACTTTCAGCTGAGGATTAGCCAGGAGTCTGATTATGTTTTTCTTATTACTTTTCTTATTTATTTTTCTATTTTTCTTTTAAAATCATTCATGAGTGTGTGGTCGTCAATGTACTCCTGCACGCTGAATTTGAGTAACTTGTTTTCGGAGAACGGTGTTGTATTTATGTATAAACTGCCGTAAACACTAACTCGGCATGTATGATGAGCTAGGTTGCATTTAAAGTCATCTTGGAACAGTGTGAAGTGATGCCATTTTCTCCCCCAGGACAGCTTTCCACGTTATGCTGCAGTTCTACAAATATGTGTATTAGTAGTCAAGGACGAATCGTCTTGTGTTAAATTTAGCAATCTTGCTTATTTCAAGATCATTCAACTACGCTGTGTTCTGCTGGAAGATGAGGACAATCTCTCCTCCAAAGTTTATTTCACTGTTCTTAACATTATGATGATTCTTCCTAGGTGTGGACTGTGATATTGATGTTCCAAAGACCATTCAGATGGTGAGATCACAACGGTCAGGAATGGTTCAGACAGAAGCACAGTACAGATTTATTTACATGGCAGTACAGCACTACATTGAAACGTTACAGCGCAGAATTGAAGAGGAGCAGGTATGTTTGTCCTAGAGTAGAAAATGTTACATAGGAACATGTTCTCATTGGAACAGGGAGCAGTTTTGCTCGTTTGCTGCCTGTTACTTTTGGAGGCCTGACTGCTGACTGTATAACCAATGCATTGTGAAAAGGCTGGGTCTGTAACCTGTTAACCCTGTTCAGAGAAGCTAGCCTATATTTCAATTCATTATGCTTAAGAATTACTTAAGCTATTAGGTGGGATTAGAAAACTGTAAAATAAAAACGGTGTGTTTGGCCACCTGCAGAGCAAGAAAATCATCGGTCTGAGAGGCTTCTCCATATGACTGCAGTTAGTGCTGCTTTTACCTTACTTGAAAATGCTTGCATGTATGGGATCCCGGCCCCCAGTCCCTGCACCCCAGATCTCAAATTCCCTTAATATTGTCTAGTTTTCTGTGCAAGAAGAATAAAAGATAAGTTTCTGTTAATTAATACAGAACCTTGTGCTCTATTGAGCTTTAAAGAGATTTCCCATCTGTTAACTGTATTTCTGAAGTATGATAATCAATTTCAAATGCTAGTAGCTCTAATATGTGTTTTGGAGTCTTAAATTACATGTTTATTAGTAAGAAGTAAGTATATTGGACTGAAAGATTAAAGAATGAGTGTGGTGATCTTGCAGTACATTGTCCAACAAAAAGCAGTTAGAAGAGTGATTTGATGTGATAAGATGAGAAAAGTTTTGGAATATATGATGACAACCACAAGACCTTCACCTCACTCTTCCTGTTTAAGTACTTCATTGCACTCAAATTTTACAGTCTTTTACAGAAGTTACCTCATCTTGTAATAAAGAACTGACGTTCTACTCACTGTTGCTTTCATTCTCTGCCCTAACCTCTGGTCATCTGGGATTTTTATCTTTTTGTTTCAGAATTTCAGTATCTTTCCTTCTGCAGCTGGCTCAGAAGGAGATAAACACACACAACTGATCAGGCAGATGTGGGGAGCTGCGCGGTAAGCGCAGTGCCAGGTGTGAGATGTAATCCCTGTTTAGAGACGGAGTGTGCCAGCTCGGGCTTGGCACTCTTGTGTGGCTTCTGGCTGCTTTTGAGTGTGGCAGAGCTTATTTTATATTTGCCTACATGATGTAGATGCACTGTTCAGCAGAGAGGATAGAGACTTTATTCCTCCCCCCAGGACAGCTGTTCTGTGCTCTGAGGGTGATTAGACATGAAGTGAAGAACAAGAAATCCCTCAGGTGTACTGTTTTTTTTCCTGGCTTTGTTGTCTCACTTCGCCTTAGAGCTGCCTCATATCTCTGTGTGTGTCATTATGCAAGCCTTGTATCCTCAGCTTTTTGAATATGGTCTGTTTCTGCTGCTGCCGTTTACAAAGTAGATCTGTAACTTTCTCTTGATCGTTGTAATGGGTTTTGAATAGTATTTTGATATTGAGTGGAGCAGTATATTTCTCCTATAGCGATGAGGCTCGGTTAGTTGTGTTTCATCCTCTGTTCCATTACTAGCTCGGAAGACACAGGTATAAAAGTTTAAGAAACTGGAAATAGAACATTGCTTTACCTCGAGGTCTTGACCTATAACTACGGCCTGTGGCAGCTATAGGAATAAAACAATACCGAACTTCTCGGACAAAAGCAAAGCTTTGCGGTGATTATAGGAACTAATGTCCTGAAAAAAACATTGTGAATTGGGGATGCTCCAAAGCATGTTTTGATAGAGCAGGAAGAAAATTGGCTGAGTAGTAGAATACTATCGAGAATGCTTGAAGTTCACCCCACAAAGATAGTTTGGGAATGAAACGCTGTGTTTTGAGAAACTTTAACTTCTGGAACCTCCTTCTCTACGCTTGCTTTAATTGCAGTTGCAAACAGTGAAAGCTGGAAGGAAACCTGGTGAAGTCAATTAGGGCACCTTTACAGGAAAGAATATGAGGTCGTGCTCCCTGTCTGCTTTTCAGTCTGGAAGAACGCAAGCCAGCTCTGATAAGAAATTAGGGAGTCACATTAGCTAGCCTGTTGTCATGCAGGACTTGCAACCAGCTGGGCTGAAGAAGTGGATATGTGAATAGCTGCATCTGTTCACATAGATATGCCTGATTTTTGTTTATATTCAGGAAAAATTTCCCTCCTCTGCTAGCTTTCCCTCCTGCATTGCAATGCTGACAGCCTCAAGGTTTCATAGAGTTAAGTGTCATGTTAAATATTGCCTGTCTTCTTACAAGTGTAGAAGAAAAGCAAAGTGAATTTATTTTAGGGTTCGTTTGTTTGTTTTTTCCTGTGGAAATGTGTATATTCTCTTACATCTAGGAAACAAGTAGTTCTTACCACATTTCTGTTATTCTGAATTAGAAAGGATGATTACAGTGAATTAAGTGGAAGGAAGAGAAGCCAGATATCTAATTTTTCTTGGCTTGTTTTATCTGTTTCAGTCAGCTTTAGTAATAGAAGAACTGACTGATTCTTTTAAAATTGCTTTTACTGTACAGTACATCTGTAACTTGAACTGCCATTCATCATGCAGTTTGGGGAGGGGGGTGGAAATCAAGCCCTAGTTTTGGGCTTCAGAATATTATTGGCAGGTGAGGGGTTTGTACCCATAACGCTGTAGAATGCAGCAGAGCGTGAACCTTTGCATTTTGTTTAAATCTTATTTTTTAGCATTAGCCAGGTAATTGATCTCGACTGGTGGTCTATTTGAAAGTGATTTGTCAGGAGTAAGTAGGAGGCTGAGAGGGGAGAAGTTCAGTAAAGCAACAGAACAAGTTGAGCAAGTTTTGAGTGAGTCTCAGAAGGCCATCTTGGAAAATCTTCAACCTACATTGCTATACAGAGCATCCTTAATGGAAACTCAGCAGCCAGAACTCCCTAGAGGCTCTGACAACCTCTGTTGTGAGATTGATTCAGGCCAGTTAATTAGTGCTTCCCACCCCACCCCCACCCCCCCCCAACCCAGTACCCTGTAAAACTTTAAAGTGAAGCTTTAATTTCTAGGTCAGTTTCAGTGTATGCATGTGTTGCGAATGTTTGTCTTGAAAAGGAAGAAAGCCATATCCCCTTTCTTTCCTAGCGTAGCTTTGCTTGCTGGAGCCTTCAGTATCTTTAGATGAATGCCAGCACAATTGGCTGCAGCTTGTAACATATGCTGCAGAATACAAATAACAGCTTGGGTTCTTTTTATATCAAACCTAATGGACTAAGATGTTATTTTATTAGAGATCTTGCAAACAACGTTGTTACTCATTTGGCCACATCTCCAAGCTGGAAATAAGGTCAGTGGGAAGCCCACTGGCTGATACTGTCTATTAAAGAATGAAGTGTGGTTTCTTCTGCCAAGTAAGATGAAGATTGTGTAGGAGTGCTGGTTCATAAGGTTGGTAGATTCTGCTGGAGATGGTGGTGGAAAGAGGAATATTGAAAAGTGAGGCTTTTCAGGTCTTGTAACAAATGGCTAAAGCCAACCTTTAGGTCCTATCCATGTTGTGTGTGTTATCTACAGAATTGAGCTCTCTTCTGTTCATGGAGAAAACCTTTCTTCTAAAAACATACGTGGTTAGTTATACATGTAATTTCTGCACTACTTCAATGATTGTTTTCTATTAGTAATTCAAAACCTGGCTTTTTGTTGTGTTTTGCTTCACAGAAGAGTAAGAGAAAAGGTCACGAATACACAAACATTAAATATTCTTTATCGGACCAGACAAGTGGGGATCAGAGCCCTCTTCCACCCTGTACCCCAACCCCAACGTGTCCAGAGTAAGTTTGCTTCTGTTGTTAGTGTGTGAGTTTTGAACTGTAGTAATTAATCTTCAGGGACCTCGGATGAGAATGAGTTATCACAGAATCTGCCCTAGACTGTTGCTCTGTGCTTTGCTCTTAAAATAAATTGAGCAAAATAAATTGTCACTGAATTATGTTGTGTGTATGAATGTGGTTTTCTCAAACTAGATTCTTCAGACTGTCAATACTTGTTTCATTTCAGAATGAGAGAAGATAGTGCTAGAGTATATGAAAATGTGGGGCTGATGCAACAGCAGAAAAGTTTCAGATGAGAAGATGTACAGAGACTTCCGTGCAAGGGCAGGTATGTATGTTCGGGAGTGAGTGTGCATATCCAGCCTGAAGCTGTGGGGTTTGGAGAAAACGTACACAAAATCGAACTATGAGAAGAACTATAGGAAGGATTTTCTAATGCCTGAAATGCATGTGCTCTATCCCTCTTAGGGCGTTTAAATTCCAGAAGCTAATTTTAATTGTTACATCTATGCTACCCTTTCAAAACAACATGGAATATTAGCTTGGTAGTTCGACCTTTGTTCTCATGTCCTGACTCACCAGTGACATAACTTGGAAGTCTTTATTATTCAGGAGACTGAAATTCTGCATGCTAGCAGAAGATGAGTAGCAACTACAGTCTGAACTTTCCACGTCTTTTATAAGTGATCTTTGCTCCTGGTCGATGCTAAGGATTTGTGTGCATCTAAAGACATTCAAAGAACACTTAATCTCATGCTCAGCCTCAAAAAATGCGATAAGCAAGTTTACTGTTGTGCCTGCGTGGTGTGAGCAGTTGGTGTAGTATTGTCATACTAGTAAAAATTAAATCCTTGCTTTTGCTGAGATACAAATCTGTAGATTCTCTCTGTTATTTTTTAAATATCTGTTATAATTTGGTTCTTGCAATCAGACAACTGAATATATATAGGTTATTAGCTAATAGGTTTATCTGCTACTTTGGTTAATGAGCTGTGAATACAGCAAAGGAGTACCTTTGAATTTGAGGTGTCTTTAGTCATTAACTTCTTTTGGATTCTAATCTAAAGCCTTTTGTTGCCTAATCAAAAGCCTTTTGTTGTCTTTCCCCCTGTGTTTTTAAAGACCTCAGAAATCCTATTTTCTCTTTTCTAATTGGGAGCTCTAAATGCATTTAATCCATTTAGTCCAGGGATCTTCTCCAAGTCTATACACAATCTCATCTTCTACTGCCAAAGTACCATGCAATTTATAAGCAAGGTTTGAGACTTTTGGTTGCTTTTAAGGCTTTCTTGAGTCAAAATTGAGCACTTCTGTATAATGTCAGAATAAGAAATAACTGCTGTTTTTTTCCCTAAATAATTTTTATTTTTTTCTCCCTTCCTTTCCCAGAAATGAATATGGTTTTTAAAAAGGTCAAGAAAGAGATGGAAGAAGCTTCACATGAATGGTGAACTCTGAGGGCTTGGTACCTTTTTATTCACGGTTTTAATCCTTCAACAGTAGGCAAAACTTAAGACCATCTAAAGATTGTTTATATCTCTTCTCTCCAATACCTGATTTACAATTGCTCATTTTCCAAATAAAAGGAAATCCTTTCTACAATGTAGACAACTACTTTGTAGAGTCAGTTTTGAATCCCGCAAACTGTTGGACTGTCATCCATTTGTTTTTTAAATAGTATTTTTGTTTCACAGTATGGCTATTAGTTGGGTTTTTTTCCTTATTTGAGCAGTTGTGGGATTTTTTTTTGGGGGGGGTGGGGTGGTGGGAGAGTAATGATATGGATAAATCCGTTACACTAATGTAAAATACTGATGGGAACAATACTTGATTGTTTGAAAACAGTGGATCACCAGCGTGAATAGAATCAGCTACATGATAAAATTAGTCCTAATACATTTCAAACTCAGACTGAGTTTCACAGGGGTGAGCAGTTATTGATATGAAGGTGCTTTTTGTGATAACTGATGGCTTTGATTGCGACTTAGCTGAGTGGCTGGGTGGGCTATTTTTGAGAAATTATGCAAGGTAGCCTTTACATCAAACAAAATTTCTTTTACATGATCTCTACCCAAAACAGAAATTTACTGTATCTCTCAAAAGACACAGTGGCCTAGCAGTTTGTGAGGACACTGTCTACGTTAATTTGTCTGTGCTCATCTATTAAGCAAGAGGTTAAACTTGCAGAGTTCAGGTATTTTGAAAAGTTGCATGATGACACCTTGACAGCATATTAAAAACAGTGAAAGAAGTAACCCACTGTGCAGGCTGTTACCTTAGTTTAAGGTAACCCTCTTCCCCTTCTGCTGGGGAGGTGGAAGCTGTTGAGCCTTCTGGGGTTTTTTTAAGGCCTTATGCTAGTGTAAGTGGCTAAATTAAAGTTGTGTGGGGAAGGCAGTGCATGGAAGCTAGCTATCCACTAAAATTGCCTTAGTTGAAAAGGGCAGCACGGGCAGCAAGGCCAGCAGACTTGTTCTGGTTGGTTTGATCAGGCAGGAGTTTATTACCGTTCTACCTGAAGTGCCTTTCAGAGCTGCATTGAATTTGCTGTCCCTATTAGATTAAAAAATCACGTTCATCTGAAACCACTTCTGATTGTTGTCAATGAGACAAAGTCCTCTTCTAGAGACTCTAGAACGAAGAACTGCTGTTAAGCTGCCAGTTAATTGGGTTTCTTCGCTTCGTTTGCTCTGTCCAATTATCTGGACCAGAAGCTCCCCTTGAAGCCATTAGCAGCTGCATGTGTGCATTAAGGGCAGAATCGGTCCCTAGGAGTGGGTACCAGTGGTGTCTTACCAACATATTTCCCCATGTTTCTGGGGAAGTTCTGTGACTTAAGTGGTGTTAAGGAATTACTGCCGTTTTCATACAGCGGGTGCAGATGGTGAACGCTGCGTTAAATTGCTGTATGCAAGGGTGCAGGGCCAATGGAATTGGGTAGTGAAATTATGCTAAAGCCTGGAATGTAATTAATGCAGCTTTGTGAAAGGTTAAGTGGGAGATTACATTACCTTTTCCTGAGAGTCCTTTGCAAAATCAAATATTTGAACATTTTGTTTGAACTGAATGAAGGTGCTTCTTTAATGTTAAGCAGAATTTTGTTACTTTGCCTATTGTCCTTTTTGTCTTTTGAGGCTTTGGGGGCTTTTGGGGGTTTGTTTTTTTTTTTTGGAACTCTGGAACTCCTGTCACCAGCATACCATAATATCTGTTTTAACTTTATACTTGTGCCCTTTCTAGATCTAAAATTTCTAGTAATGATGAGAGAGAAACCTATTCATTGTAGCGAGATAGTCATAAATACTTGTGCCCTTTCTAGATCTAAAATTTCTAGTAATGATGAGAGAGAAACCTATTCATTCGGTAGCGAGATACCTATTTTACATCGCCTGCTTCCTCTCCTGTCCCTGTTTACAGCTTCATCCTGCTGAACAGGGATCAGTTATAAGCATTGGTATTTGTATAGAGCAATTGATAGCAATTAAATATTTGTCTAAAACTTTGTGCAAAGTTAGACAAATTCTACACTTCATACGTTATAGCAAGGTGGAACGCGTGTTCACGTTTGGAGCTATTCTGCACCAAACTGAAAAGTCAGGGGGAAAGTCAAGAGAAATGAGAGAAGGATCCTGAATGAATCTGAACTCTGTTAGGAACTCAGTTAATGTGATGTGTCTTAAAAGATTGACCTGTATAAGCAGCAATCAGTTACATGGCCAACATAAAGTTGCCTCTTTTGACCTCATTTTAGCTGTTTAGAACCTGCCGCTGTAGGATTTTTTTTTTTTCTTCTTGGAACCAGGGAAATTCTTACTGCAGAATGTGTATTAATCCTGGGGAGCATATGGTGGAAGAATGTCAATGCGGGGGGAACAGAATCTGAAAGATTGTGAACAAATACTCCTATCTTAACTGGAGTATTAGGCCCTGCTGAATACCAAAGGGGAGACCTTGCAAAATAAAATCTGTCTGCCTTTCATGCACCGGCAAGAGAGGGATGATTCTTAAAGCATTTTTTTAAAGTTATTTTAGACGATGGCTGGGGTTTGTGACAGATGAAGCAAGAAAGAGAAATGTCCTTTGGTTCAGGGGAGATAAGTGAGTGTGGGTTTCATGTATTTCTAGTGAGTTTTTAGAGAATAAATTTTAAGCATTGATTTACAAGCTTTTGCTGTATCAGTGGAATGGAAAAGGGATGCAGTTCTGCAGTGTTCTGTTGTAGATGACTTTATACCACAAGGGAAACTTTAACCCAACTCCTAAGGCACAATAATTTATGCCAGCATGAATTTGCTGCAGACTTCATTTACTGAATGTTTTATAGCATACACTTTAATTTCAGCTAACTGTTGTTAGGACTGATTGGTTCTCCTATTAATCCTCACCAAACTTTATTTTTTTCCTTGTAAGATATGTGTTTGAAACACAATTAACTAGGATATGGCTAACGAAGTTATAAAACCTGTTTCCTTTTTGGTTGTAGGGATGGGGAAAAATCACAGCTGGTACTAGGATGTGTTGTCAGGTTTTGATTTTCTACCCATAACTTCATTATTTCAAATTAATTTTTAATTTCTCCCTTTTAAACAGTGAAACGTAATTAATAATTTCAAGCCTGTTTATTTATGACATTATTGTGATTTTTTTTTTTATTACAGTACTAAAGACTAATGAAAAAGGATCCTCTTTATTAGGTGGAGTAGACCTTGCATTTATTTTTTTTTCCTGCAGTGTATGAAGTATTGTACCAGAGTATTAAATGAAATGTAATATTTTATTGAAAAATCTCTATCCTTTAAAAGGAATACATTTAGGATGTCATCAATTTGATGTGAATCATGTAAATGTTGATAATGCGCTGTTTATTATACATCTAGTGTTTCAAAAGACTCACTTATTGCCTTTTGCCCACATACATTCTGTAGACCATTTACAATTGTCAAAATGTGACATTAAAATAATAGTTCATGTATAGAAATATTGGTGGTTGTCCATTGTTTTCTGTGCTGGTATTTATGGGTCTTAGTTCAGCTGCTCTGCTAGCTGCATTGTGATTTTTTTTTTTTAATTGCTGCGAAGCTATATTATCAGAAATAAAAGCATATCTGTAAACATCAGCACTTCAAAAAAAGGAAAAAAAAAAAGAAATTAAAAAAAGAAATAAAAATCATTTTCTTAAGATGGTTTGTCAGTTACTCTGTTCTCCAGCTTGCAGTCAGAAAAGATGGTGTTGTGTGGGCACTAATCTTCAAGCCTAGATCACAGTGTTTCCGAGTTGTACTGCTGAGCCCCCGTGGGATGAGATGCTGTTGAAGAGAGCAGCTGTCCTTCCTGAGAGCCAGCGGAGCAAAACTCTTATTAAATATGATGTATACCAGCTTTTATCTTTGTGTTCCTACCATCCGCTGGCTGCCCGGTGGGAGGTTCTCCGTGCTGTCCAGGTACTGCCTTTCCAGATAGCCCTCGATGGCTCTTGTCCTGGGAGTCCTGTGCTTGTGTCCCTGATGCCTTCTGCTTTTTCTTTCATGTTCCACCTCCAGAAAATTGACCCTCATTGTTTCTTTCCCGAGTTTTGAAGTTGGTGTGGAACATGCTCAAAACTGGGATGGGGTGGGGATTGGCACCTCTTTTTTTTTTTTTTTTTTTTTTTTTTTTTGCTATTAGTGTATAACCAATCAGTTTTAATTGGGGAAAGGGAAGACAATCCTGTTCTTTCTCTGTCCGCATCACACTTAGCTGCAACCAGTTCTTCTGGGGTGAGGGAGAAAGAAGCTGTTGCTCTCACTCCTGCTGCTCCTTCCTTCCAGATCTTTCGTCTCTTGCACCATTTGTCTTTGGGGCTCTGCTGTTTCCTGAGATCCTTTTATGCCAGCACCATGCAGTGACTCAAAAGAGGGACTGGCGCTTTGAAAAGGAGCTGTGTTGCACCCCGGGCTCCTTTCTGCCAGCTGCTGCTACCATACTTCAAAAGCTATCAACATTTCTGACGCTCTGCGGCACTTGGAACTAGACACTTCCAAAAATGTAACGTCCTACCTGTTCTCTAGGCTGGAGCAGAAAAGCGTACGTGTGCCCCTAAGTATTGCATGTCAGGCTAATTTTAGGTCCACTAATGCTGCTTTTTCTTTCTTGCAGCCATTGGGAATGTTCCCCTAGGCATGTCATTGCTGTTATTGATTCCCAGAAACTAGACAGCCCGAGCGGCTTCGCTAACGTATGAAGGGTTTTTAATTCAAGGAAAGGTTCCACTAAGCATTAGCTCTCCCCTCGATCCTGCTTTCAGGGCTGAGCGGTAAAAATGCAGCTTGAGCCATCCTGCAACTTTTTAGGAAATAAATGCTGTGTGTTGTAACACAGACAACATGAGCAGTGCCAGTTGAACACAGAGCAAATATCAGCTGAATTTGTAGTAAAACAAGCTTAATCTCAAGGCGATGGCAAAGCATAGAGATAATCTACTGAAATGCCAGGAAGGAGGCAAAGCCCTGTGGTTGAGGCCTCTGCAGATTCACATACAAGCTGAATTCAAATGAGGGCAGTAGCTATGCAGAGCGGCTTGGGTTTAAGGCGATTATCCTGCAGAGTAAGATTTTTTTTTTTTTTTTTTTTTTTAATGAATGCGTCTAACAGTTTGCATCCATCTCTGTGTATAGCAATGGTTTTATAATCTGTTTCAGGGTTGGAGAGGGAGGGGGACTGGTCCAATCTGAGAACTTTGACAAAGATTGAAAGCGATAGTGATGTGGTGACACTTACAGACCCTCCTGCTTTCTCCCAGGCTGCTGTGTTGCATTTTTGCTTGCCCCGTGTAGGTAGGTATGAATAGAGGTTATTCTCGCAGTGCTCTCGGTGTTTATACAATCCTAGATGATTGGATATTGCTCAAGGACAAGTTTGTTATCTCCATAAAACCTTGAAACTTTGGCTGACTTTTCTTCAGTAGGAACGCCAATGCAGTTAGTGTTTAGGTTAGGTGACTTCTGAAACGTGCCTCCTGTTATACGGCAAGATGTACACATCGTACGGCTCTTCTGATCCTGTAACAAGAAGAGCTGAATGCGTCAGGAAAAATGAAGGTGTCCTTCAATCAACCTATTTGCTCCTTCCAAAGAAAACATTTTTCCAGCACATCTCTCTTGGCAGAGCTGTTGCAAATCAGATTCCATTTTCAGGGTAGCAATTCTTGTTTCGTGTCCCTGTGTGTTACACCTGGGTGTGCTTTTTAAGCCTTCACGTGCTAGTCCCTTCGCTTGGGATCACCCTTGAGCCCATTGCGTGACGCTTGTGCTTCAAGTCTCTGAAATCTTCCTTTGCCTTGAGCTGGGGCCTGAGGCTCAGACGTGCATCTATTTTTTTTTTCCCTTTTTCTTTTGTAATGGTTGGGCAAGATACCTTCAAAGGATTCTTAATATGCTGATTGCTTCTTGGTTTCCCCACGGAGTAAGACTCAGCATAACAATTCATAGATCAAAACGTTTGATTTGAAAAAATCCCCAGCTCTCCCAATGAATGCCTCCAAGTGTTGGAGGGGCTGCTACATTTTTAGTGTGCATCATTTTGACAACTCGCTGTTTTTCTTGACTATGTGCATGTTTGCTCCTAATGGAGGAAAGATCTTTGGATTCTCATGCTGGTGCTTTTCTCAGTTTCCTTATTTGTGTCACTGGATGTGAAACAGGAGGGGGAGGAACTCCCTAGCCCTTCTTGTGCAGGAAATCAGGCTGGAAGATGCTGTGACTCCTCCTGGTCTTTTTATTTCATAGTCCTATGTCTGAGCTCAGTTTATGATTGTTTTTTCCTGGGTGCAATCTAATTTTATAGATCTGTGAAGGTCCCATGTATATTTACAACTACAAACGATAGCTGAAGGGATATAAAGTGCTGTATAAGAAATAGGAGAGAGAAATAATACGTAAGCGGTGGCTTTTTCAAACTGCTTAATCTCACTTTATCTTGTGCGTTTAAGGTTTTGTATTTGTAGAGTGGGTGAGTGCCCTTCCGAAGAAAGGGAATGGCTCTGTCCTTCCTGGTGGCTTGGCTGTGGGTATGCAGAGCAGGTCGAGGGCTGGCTAGTGAAGATTGATGGCGCTCACTGTTTCAGATAAGTCTGACCTCAGCTCCTGCCCGACTGCAGCAATTCTGGCTTGGTCTGTACGTGTTTGGCCGCCCTGGCCTTCCCGTGGGAAATGGTGTCCCTTGGGAGCCAGTGCTTTGGATACAG